TATTTCCCTGAATTCACTGGTCAATTCCCACGTAGGTATACTGGGACTAACTTGTTGACCAGAACATTATTTCCACAATTGCTTATTTTTGAAACAATCTTTTCTATGCTAGTAATTAAAAACATAACCATGTTATGTCTTTCTACTTTCTACTTAACTACTACTGGTTGGTCCCCGTTTCAAAAATGTAGTCTTTATGGCAACCCATTTTTAACTCTTGCCCACAGCCAGATCTAGTAAGTATATATCAACATACTATACTCCTGAGGCCAAGCACAGCCTATCCGAACTGAAATGCAGCATCTTCCTCCCGTTCCTCTAATCTAGGAGGTGACTATTATTGCTTTCTCCATGCAGATTCTGCTATAAGCACAATAAAAATCAATGAAGACGTGGGACAGCTGAGAGTAATTAACAAAATGCCGAGGCCACCAAAATTCACATTCTTGCAACCCTTAGACAAGGCCCCAAATGTAAGTCCCTCTTGGTCATACATCTGCTCCTTGTGCTCACTCATAGTGCTCTGGCCTTCTACCACCCTGATCCAACCTCCACTCACAGTGGGTCTTCCTCCCAAACCCTTTCTTCTGGGGAGCCTAAAACCTGATTGAGGTAAAAACCCATCCTTTGCCCTCTGCTTCCTTCCATTGCTCTAACCCTTTGCTCTTCCTGTTGAACCTGACTCGGCGAAGCCCAGCCGTAGCTGTACCTCTTCCGTCTGTTCCTACACCAGGTCACAGCCTGTAGATGAGGGTAACCATAAACCCTTGGTCTCGGTTACTTCCAACCTTCTTTGCTCAACTCCAAAACCTTAACCTATCATCTTTTCCTTAAGGCAGGACACTGTATCTTCTAATTTGTTGAGAGAAGTAAATCAATGCACAGTAACTCCCTTAACGTCTCTTATCCTATCTTAATCACTCTTTCTTCACCTCAAAAAGGCATGTCCCTCCCCAGGAGGCCAAGTCCTCCAACATGATGATCTCAGAAGCCGTGGGATGTAAGGGGATAAACAGGTGATGGTTGTAGTAGGACAGGTGAGGTAACAAGGGCCAGAAGTAAACTGTGGCTTTGGGAATATTGATATATTCCCCCCAACCCTGAATTTGTGGGGAACAGCTAACCAGGGCTATAATCACATACAACCACTAGCAAAGGGGTGTAACCTTTCATAACTAGGAGCAGAGGGGAAAGGAACTTTAAAGCATACTTCTACCCTGCAGAAAAGATGGCTGAGAAGTGGCAGAAGAAGAAAACAGTGTAGAACAGTGATCTCTAAAGTAGGATGTATGCAAGGTGACCCCATGGGATGTGGGAAAATGTCTATTTATAATTACATTTTGTCTAAAAGAAGAAGAGGAAATTAACCTTCACGAACATTTACTACAGTCTGACAGTGGTGCCTGCCTTCCGGTCACTCAGTGTCCTCTTACGATCCGTATCTGGGGTGACCTGAGGACAGAGTGGGAGTCTCAACAGCTCCCAAACTCCTCAGTTTGCTTTCAGCATGTAGAGTGGACTACAATTTATCTATGCCACGCTGGGTGAATTTACAAAGTTTATCTCTTTTAATGAAATAATCTACAAAATGTGGTTTACATGGATCCCTGCAAAGAAACCATGAATTTAAGACACCTAAGATGCAATAAACAAACAAGAGAGTGGCAGAGAAAGACACTTCAGGAACAAGCCCTTCATCAGCCACATGAGTTGCACTAGGGAGGATCTCCTCAGATTTGACAAAACTTTGGCCAGAAAAGCTGTCAAGACTATTTAAAATATGTACGTATACCCACATTGATGTTGTAAAGATAAATCTCACTCTAACGTTATATTGGGCCTTGAGAAATTAACTAATGGTAAAATACATGCAAAAAAGACCTTAGAAGAAATTAATACACATACATTGGAAACGTTTGCTCAAAAACCTCTTATTGATGGAAATATGCTACTGAAGAGGTCTGGAGACCACTGGCTTACAAGTTAGACTGTAAGGCCATGGGAAATAAATATCCTAGTCTTTGCCCTGGGGTAAAAGTAGTTCTACTTTATGATTAGTAGCATTCTAAAAGAATGGTTTGCTTTTGAGGATAACTTTTGAAAGCTTCTTAATCTCTATTTTATTCTCCTATCCTATGTAGTCTTTAATTGCAAATAATGGAGTATAATAGCAGTATTGGGTAAACTAATACAAAATTCCCTTGAACATTATTTTGCTTTGTCTATATTCTTAGCATGTTGGAGGCAGAAGGATGAAAAAAATCCCTATTTTTGTTATCCTTCACCCTAACTATTCAACATTTCCATAGACTATGAAATTATATGAAATCAACCAAATTTGTACAATTCAGTAAGTTAAGTCAGATTTTAAATAGTCCTATGAACTATTGCACAAACAAGTCACCCATGACTCCATTCTCTCTTCCCGGTAGATTTTGGCAACCATCAAGTCAATCCCTAACACGACTGCAGGGAACTTATTAAAGTCCTGAAAGACAAAATACCCGCCCAAGAGACCCCAAAGGTAAGTTCACGGCCAAGTGTCAGCGTGGTCAGATACAACACGGCAGCTGGGGCACTGGCCCATGCACTCTTGGGGGGTTATCGGATCACCCATCTGACAATAAAGCACAAGCATTTCAAAGCACCTTGTCAAAAAAGGAGTAAATCACCCGCACCTCATTAGTTTCCCTTTTTGTAAACATTTAAAGCAGGTTTTAAAATTATTAAAAAAAAAAAAAAAAAGAACAAGATCCTTTCCCAGGTTCTCGTTCTTTCATCTTTACAGGTGAATCCCTGACGGCCAACAGAGCACCTGCCAAGCCCTTCCACCAGCATTTGCCACGGAAGGAACCAGATCTGAGATTTGCCCAGGTCCATCTACTTCTGCACTGACATCAAAGAGGATTCTCCATTATTTCGAAAGAAGGTAGCAAACAGTACATGAGAACTGCTAGATTTGGTTTTTAAGACAAAAAATCTACTCCATGATTCCCTAATACATAAGAACTATTAATTAAACAAGGAGGCCATTTGACCAAGGTGGCACTAATACCTTGGTGGCCTACCTTAGCAAACCAAAATCTAAGCCTGTAAATAAATGCCTCAACGTTAAAAATCAAAATACCAAGGACAACCAATCACAAACAGCCAACTAGGCCTTAAGATATAGCCAATCAATAATTTCCTTACATTGTTTCCGCTTACTCTCTGGAAGTCTCTTCCGCTGAGCTCCTTCTGCCGGTGGAGCGCACCCAACCACTTCTGGTTTGGTGCTACCTGCTTCCAATAGATTTTTGCTCAAATAAACTCCTAAATTTTTTAATAAAAGTTCCTCAGTTTATCTTTTAACAGAATCAAACTTAAAGATTTTTGGAGTTGAGATTCATTTCAATGTCCTATTTTTTAAAGAAAAAGAAAGAAGGAAAGAATTAGAAAAAGGAAAAGGAAGAAGGGTGTGTAGGGAAGAGGTGTGTCTACTGCATTCCCTGAAACTTCTGGGAGGACGCTTCAGAAGTCAGCCTGAGGCTCAAGGATTAGTTCCAGAGGAAACAAATACATCAGGCATCAAAGTCTTGAAAAGCTCCCCATGAGGGCAACTGCAGATAACTAGGAGCAGTTCCTTAAGAATTCTCTAACTATCTTAAACTACTTACTTATCTTTCTTCAAAAGCTTATTTAACTACTAAAAAAAAAAAAAAGAGGAAAATCCCTAGGTCTTTAACAGGGGTGCCTTTCAAATAGGCTGAGATAAAATCATTCCCTGAAATTTGTCTTTGAAATGGAAATGTGATCATACGCAAAGCACCAAAGGAGTAACAACAATTTCAACTGCTTTCTCAGATGACACGTTTATAATCAAATGCATGAATTATAACATGTGATCTATTAGGTTAAAATTACCCTTTCCATCAAGGGCTCCCACCTGAGACCCATGCTTTGAGAAAAAAGGAATGACCATCACTTAAAAGTGGCCCCAAATTTCTGTCCATGGAGACTCCAGGCTCTTTACTGCCGGCCTGCATGAAAAAAGGCCAAGCCCTGAAAACATAATACTATCCGCCTGAGCCTGAAACCCACCCCCACCAATGGCTGAAATATGTGGACAGAGTTATGGGAAAAGTCATGACCTGTCATGCCCAAAATAACATTCTGCCATTCTTCTAATTATATGTATTTTTAAAGATTTATTTATTGTAGAGAGAGAGAGCACGAGTGGGGGGAAAGGGAGAGGGAGAAGCAGACTCCCTGCTGAGCGTGGAGCCCGACACATGGGGGCTCGATCCCAGGACCCCAACATGATGACCTGAGCCGAAACCAAGGGTCAGACGCTTAACCCAACTGAGCCACCCAGGCTCCCACTTCTAACTATATGTGATGCCATTTTTGTGTTTAGGAAAATTTGATCACTTGATTTTTAAATGTACATAGGCCAGAAGAGTATCACTAGATTACCTTAATAAAAGCAGTCACCCTGTCACACATCCCCTGCTTTTAGTTCATGTTTCTTTTAGTGATTTGCTTATTTATTAACTTATTAACTCTTTCTCCCTTGAATATAAGATGGCAAGGAACCTGCAGCCTCAAGGTAAGACAGTGGCTGGCACATCGTTGGTACTAAAAATATTTATAGAATATTAAATATTTGCCAATGTCATTCTTTACATATTTATTATATAA